TAAATTCACTCAGATGTTGAACTTCGGATACAATTTTTTTGAGGAGTACCACTTATTCTACCACTAGTGGAATAATTTACTAGATTTCTTTTAGGAGCTCATACTATCGGCCATACCATTTCTGCTGATATTGCTCTAAAATCTTACTAACAATAAAATAGCAAAATGACCACATATAACGGGCACTCTCTTTCTGTGTTGGGCTCCTAAAAAGACTTCACTTTTTGTAATAAGCTGTTTGTGCTCACTTCAGTTTGCTTCATTTTATTTTTGTCATCATCACTGCTGTCTCGGTATACTGTAGTGGAACGATGCTGAATCAGACAGGCTGAAATTTTTATTGCAAGCATATCTCAAGGCAAATGTATAAGCTGAACTTTACATCAGAAATGAAGCTAGAGGGAATATACCTTTATTCTAAGTTACAAAATGCTCTGCTATTCTAAATTTGAAGTATGTTGAAAATAAAATGCTTTTCTCTGACATCAAGAATTTCACGTAGGCAATAGATTGAGATATTCCTTTAAAATTTATGTGTACAAATCAGTTTCACCAACAATATTGTTTGTATTACAATTTGATATTCAAGTTGTAAAGCTGATATTTAAGATGATGTTATACCACGGGAAACTGATTATATTAATGATCCCAACATTTTATTTCACTTTTCTTTTGGTGGAAAGCTAAGAGGGAGTGTTCACTTGCTTAACAGTATTTTACTGATATGAATGGGCAAACACAGTATATATTTAAGTATAAGCATATAAAAATTTGAGCCCTAGATTATGATCTAACCACCACCAAATTGAAGATTTCTGAGAGTTATAAGAGAAATTGATCACTTAATCTTCGAAGGAGCAAGTGTCCAGTCCTATCCCAGGAGGATCTCTGATGACCCAAGACATGGCCTTCAGCCATGAAACTTCAGTTCTAGAAGGTACAAGCTCTGTACATCTACCTAGGATAGGCCCTTGTATTTATAGATATTGAACAAGTGAGGCCTGCTTTTATAACCTGTAGTGATGTTTCATTTTTCTCCCTCCCCTGTGTTACCACTTTAAAGCATCCTCCACTAAACAGTGGGAAATATGTTAAAATGTTAATGTTTTGAATAGTTTCACTCCTACAGCTGGAAACAGCAGTAAATGAGAAGAAAACTGTATTTGGAAATAAAATTCTTTTTTTTTTTTTTTTTTTTTGCCGGTACCATACTGTTTTTTTTTTATTTTTTTTTATTTTTTTACAAATAGTTTATTGTCAAATTAGTTTCCACATAACACTCAGTGCTCATCCCCACAAGTGTCCTCCTCCATGCCCATCCCTCCTTCCCTCCACATCCAGCAGTCCTCAGTTTTTGTCAGCATTCAAGAGTCTCTCATGGTTTGCCTCTCTCCCTTTCCCCCACCATTTCCACCCTTCTTCTCCCCCTTGGTCCTCTGTTAAGTTCCTCCTAATCCTCCTATACGTGCACACATATGATATTTGTCCTTCTCTGCCTGACTTATTTCGCTCAGCATAACACCCTCAAGGTCCATCCATGTTGCTACACATGGCCAGATTTCATTGTTTCTCATTGCCGTGTAGTATTCCATGGTATAGATAAACCACATCTTCTTGATCCATTCATCTGCTGATGGACACTTAGGCTCTTTCCATGTTTTAGCTATTGTGGAGAGTGCTGCTATGAACATTGGGGTACATGTGCTCCTATG